TTCCTTCCTTCCTTCCTTCCTTCCTTCCTTCCTTCCTTCCTTCCTTCCTTCCTTTTTTCTGTCCTTTTGTAACAAGGTCTCAGGGCCAGCCAGATAGCTCAGTGGACTGAAGAGGCTGCTTAGGCAGACATGGGGACAGGGGTTTTACCTCTGGCATGCCATGCTGGCCCCACCCCTGGGGTGTGCACACCTGTAATTCCAGAGCTTGGGAGGCTGAAAACAGGAGGATCACTACGAGTCCAATCAGTGTAGTGAGACTCTGTACTAAAAAATAGAAAAAGAAAAGAAACAGGGCTTTTCTATGCGGTTCAAGCTGGCCTTGAGCTCACAATGATCCTCCTGCCTCAGCCTCCAGAGTGCTGGGATTACAGGCATGTGCTACCATGCCCAGCTCTGGTTCTTCTTTTCTTTTCTTGTCTTTCTTTTTTCTTCTGTATTTTAGGGAAGGGTCTACAGGGTGTTCAGGGTCTCACTACTAGATCAAACTCGTAGTGATACGTGTGTTTACAGCCTCCCAAGAACTGAGATTATAGGCGTGTGCCTCCGTGCCTAGTCTCATTCACTGTCTCAGCGCACCCCAGGGGTGGGGCCAGCATAGCATGCCAGGGATCAAACCCCGGCCACTGCGCTCTGCCTATGGCCAGCCCTGGGTGAGAAGACCACAGCCTGAGGGGTTGCTGTCACTTTCCCAGAAACATTGCCTGCTTGTGTCTATGGTGTTGGGTGGCTGTGTCCCGTGTGCACCCCCATCCATTTGGGCCCTTTAGGGGGCTGGGGCCCTAGCATATGTCCTACTGCCTGTGGGCAGCGCTAGGCCCAGCACAGCTGTCTGTCCGCTGCCTCCACCAGCCCATACCCCATCTTCAGGCCTCAGGACCTGGGAGAAGGCTCTGTCCTTCTGGAGGTGTAGCCCTGCCTGTCTCCAGGAACCTCGTATTGATCTTCCCAGGAAAATCAATAGCTCCAATATGTCACCTCTCAAGTGGCGCTACAGTAAATTACCCTATCATTAAGCACACGAGGTTGTAGCCTGTAACTCCCATTAGTGGGACATTAGGCCTCCCGTGAAATTTCTCTGTGTGCTTTGAGATAATGAAGGCTGAGGTGTCTGTGTGTATCCTGGGGTTAGGCAGACAGGTGATATGGCTGGCTCAGCACAGAGCTTCTCAGCACAGAGCTTCTCAGCAAGGCCCCTCAAAACAGACACGCGCTGGGGACCTCAGTGGAACGGTATCGGAAGGACTGCAGAGCTTGGCATGGTCATGGGCTGAGGGGCCCAATGAAGCAGGAAGTTGCCTAGACTGGCTGTTGTCAAGGAGCCGGGAAATGCCACGGTGTGGTGGTTGTATCACTCGTCTGGGGCTGCCAAAACCAAGCACCACAAGCTGAGGAAGCTAAGGTTCGAGGGATAAAATCACTTTCTGACGTGCCCTTGATCCAGGCCATACTGAAATGCCCCAAGGTGAAGCCCCTGCCCCACCTGCTCACTCTGGACCCACATGGCTTTCCTGGGCAGGCTGTGCTCAGCTGCCCTAAAGCATCCCAACCAGGCAGTTGTCCCAGTCTCAGTAGGCAGCCCCTACTGCAGCTCCATCCTGATCACAGAACCTCAATCATCTCCAGGAAAGCCCTCTGGGATGTACACCATCCACACATGAGCCCCTTCCTCTCAGGAACAATAGGGACCCGGGTACCTGCAGGGGAGGTTGGTGTGGCAATGATGTTTTCTAGGATGGAACAGGTGGGGTGGGGCCCAGGGATAAGGACCTGGGCAAACAGGTGCCTTTGTTGACATAGCAGCTGTGAATGTCCTCCAGGCCTGGGCTCCCAGACTCCACAGTATCCTGAGCTCAAAACACCTCTAGCCCATGCTGCTCCTGCCTAGTGCCCTGAAAGTACCAGGTGGGGAGGACCATGATGAGTGGGATTTTTCACACCAGGAAGTGGGCACAGGAGGCAGTAGGCTTCAAGTCACAAGGGGGTTGTGATTTTTGTTTTTGTTTTTGGTACTAGGAATTAAATCTACTAAGTACTATGGGTTAAATACACTAAACTGTATCCCCAGTCCTTTTTTCTTTTCTTTTTTTTAAAATGTATTTAGTACGTGGTCTCACTACACAGATTGGACTTGTGGCGATTCTCCTGTTTTCAACCTCCCAAGCGCTGGAATTACAGGTGCACACCCCCACTCACAGTCTCAATTGCCATCTCAGCATGCCCTGGGGGTGGGGCCAGGGTGGC